AAATGCTAAGGAAGCACCTGATAAAGTTCAACATTCATTCTTATTAAAACTATAAGAAAAATGGGAAGAAATTACCTAAACATAGCATGGATGTTTACAAACTAGTAATTTTTTCTCTTGTTCTATGATATTTGCAATGTTTATTTAGTTTCTCTAGTTTAATGCATTAAATTCAATCTCCAAATACTAGGTATTAGTGATGGCTAGTTTCTGGGCTCAAGGGAAATAGACCAAAATCATTGATCTATATCTATCTATATTTATATGCATATAAAAATGAATATCTATATCTATATTCATATTTATTTACATCTTTACTATCTATCTTATTAGCCAAAACAGTTACAAATGGAAATTTTTAAAAATCATATTGATAATTGTTATTAAAATTTGGATAATTAAATAAATGCTTTTGGCAAAATGTCTACATAGAAGAAAACAATTAGATAACTACTGTATATTATCTTATTTACATTTTCTGATCAAATTATAAATACCTAAATGTAAAAATAAATAAGATAATGAGAATTAGCAGAAATTATAGGAAGTTGTATCATCTTTAAGTAGGGGCACAAGATGGGAATCCCAAAAACATTAAGGAAAATGATCTGTAGATCTGTAGATGTAAAAATTAATTTCTGCATGATAGAAGACAATCAATTCAAAAGACAATAGGCTGAAGGAAAATCTTCGCAATAAGCATGATGGAATGGGCACACCCGTTATAAAATAATAACAGCTGAAAGGGCAACAATAACAGTTAATGCTTTTATTAGGTATTGATAAATTGCAGCTGTGTTAGTGTTCTTTTAACATAGAAGTCCTGTAAGTTTAATAGAAACAAAAACAAACAAACAGAAACCACCGATGGAAAGTAGCAAAAGACATAAACGGACAATTCATAAGAGAGAACTTATATTGGTTGATAAACATTTGAAAAGATGGTCAATTCACTTCTCATGCCTGGGGAAATGGGATTTATAACAATTATATCTTTTGTAGTTGGGGGAAGAGCTATCAGAATGACAAAAATTCAAAAGATTGGTAATATCCAATACACATAGTGCTGGTGAGAACATGAATTGTACAATCTTTCAGGGAGTTCAATTTTTAGGAATGTATCCTACAAAAATAAAAGTGTTATTACATAATGGCCCGTATCCATCATCCACCCCCTGTGTACTAGATTGCCATTTGAAACAGCTAAGACTGCCCAAGTTGTCTATAATAGTTGTGAATCGATTTGAATAAATACAGTAGCACTGTGTGGAAGGGAATCGTCAGGCTGTCAGCACTGGGCCTTAAAGAGGCAAGACTGGAGGGGAGAAAGAGGATTTCAGTTCCGTGTTGCTTTAAGCCTCAGTATGATTGATCTGATGGTATCCATGAGTATATACCATTCTTGTGATAATCTTTGAAAACTCTTATTTTCAGATAATTATGGATTCACAAACAGGTATGAGGAATAATTCCTTTATTCCTTTATTCCATTTCTCTCAATTGTAATATCTCACAAAATTGTAGTACAATATCACAAAGAGGACATTGACATTGACAGAGTCAAGATGCAGAACTTCCCACCACTACAAGACTCTCTCAAGTTGCCGGTTCACAGCCACACCCACATCCCTCCCTGTCCCCTTCCATGGAGAGTGGGCAGTGGGCAAAGTCCTGACTCTCCACTGGGCCTCCTCTGACCGTCCCAGTCAGGAGAAGGAGGGGGTGCCTGGTTACTGCCAGGTACGACAATTAAAAAGCAAGCAAGGCTGGGGTTGGTGGCCCACACCTGCAATTCTAACACATTGGGAGGCTGAGGCAGGAGGACTGCTTGAATTAAGGAGTTTGAGACCAGCCTGCACAACATAGTGAGACCTCATCTCTACAAAAACTAAAAAAATTAGCCAGGCATGGTAGCATGCACCTGTGATCCCAGCTACTCTAGAGGCTGGGGTGGGAGGATGGCTTGAGCCTAGAAGGTCGAAGCTATAGTGAACTTTAGTCGCACCCCTGCACTCCAACCTGGGCAACAGAAAACCCATCCCTACTAAAATAAAATAAAATATAAATAAAATAGAATAAAATAGAATAGAATAGAATAGAATAAAATAAAATATAAAATAGAATAGAATAGAATAGAATAGAATAAAATAAAATATAAAATAGAATAGAATAGAATAGAATAGAATAAAATAAAATAAAATGAAATGCAAGCAAACAAAAAATCCCTCTCCATCCCCTGACCTTTAATCCTGTTCCACCAGTGAGCTCTGGCCCGGGATGTGGCTTCCCAGGGCAGCTTCTCCAAAAGGTGATACCAAGGGTGTTACTGCCCTCTTATCCCCCAGCAAATTAATACCTCAGTAAAACAAACATTTTACACGGCAGAACCTCACCCCAGAACGCACCTGTGAGGCAAGTGGCTCAACAGGTACAGCCCACTGATCAGATGAGAACCCGCCCTCCCAAGCGCGGTTCCCAGCTTCAAGGGTCCAGTAACGCAGAAGAGTCTTGTGGGGGTGGGGGTGGTCTTCACTTGGTGGGAGAGGTGCACTGTCAGCCTCTCCCTAGGTTGTGTTCCAGCATAACTGTAATTCCCTATCAGAGCAGCGTTTTCTAGGTTAAAATAAGGGGTTATGGAGACCAAGGTTTCATCATTCAGGTAAAGCCTCCAGGCAGCAGGCTTCAAAGACAATAGAGTGTAAATGTTTCTTATCAGACTTAAAGAGTCTGTTCTATCAGTAATTCCACAAGGGAAGAGAGTATAATGAGGCATGTCTGGTCCCTCCTTCCCATTACGGCCTGAACTAGTTTTTCAGGCTAACTTTGGAATGCCCTTTGCTAAGACGATGGGTCCGTTCAGATGGCTGAGGGGCTTGGATTTTTATTTTTGGTTTACAAATATATGTTTTAGTGCGTGTATGGATGTGTGTGTATATATATGCATCTATCATATAGGCTTTAGTGTGTGTATGGATGTGTGTATATATACGCATATATCACATATGCTTTAGTGTGTGTGTGTGCATGCATGCTTCAGTTTCCTCGTTTATTAAAAGCATTAGTGATAGCTCACCTTGCAGAGTTGTGACGGGCATAGGACATCTGTCTAGCACCTGATGATTAGGTACGTACACCTTTCTCTTCTCTTTTTCATGCCTATTAACTCACTTCACTTTCCAAGTCAGCAAGTCCCATATGGATTCCCATTTCCCAGAGGGAGCACCGAGAGATGTCCTCCCAGGGCCCCTGCATTGACTTAGGGCAGAGCCAGGCTTAGGTCCCAGGCTTTAGACTCCTCAGGTTCTTCTTGCGGATCACCTGTCCAGGTCCTCACTCTCTCCTCGCCTATAAACTTGTGGTCCTAGCTATAAGCTTGTGGTCCTAGTGAGTTACTGGAGCCGCAGGCAGCAAGGAGGGTGCTCCAGGCAGCCCCTGCTAGAGGCCAGTCCAAAGCCCCTAGGGCCCAACTCACTGTGGAGGAGGGGGATGAGATGGGGCATTGAGAGAACCTGTAGCTAGAAGTGTTAAGGGCCAGGGCAATGCCCCCGCCCAGCCTCCCACGGAGACAGGCCAGCTCCTGCAAGCTCCCAGGCAGGGGCTCAAGGCCCTCCAGTGTTCCAGGCACTTTATTGAGTATATTGGGCCCCTCTGTCTTTGGTGCAGCCCAGTGAGGTAGGTATTATTCCTGTCCCTGTGTACTAGAAGCAGCCCACAGCTGGAAGGGAGCTTCCCACCAGAACTTCTCATCCCTCGTGGCTTCAACATCAGCCAAGGAGCCTCTTTTAAGAGCTTCCTAGGTTTTTTCACACCCGCCCCAGAGAACCACTGTCCCGGGCCCAGCCCCACACACTTCTTCCCACCCGCCACCCAGCAATGACTCTGCTTCAGCCTTCACTGATGGGACGCTCACTGCCTGTGCAGAAACCAAGCTTTGAGTGCCTGCTTCTCATGTTCCTGAGCTGAAGCCGGCTTCCCATCACTGCCGCCCAAGACATTCACGTTTCCCACTGACTTCTAGCCACCTTTTAGTGGTTTCAAGACAGCCCTCCACAGCCCAAAAGGGCATTCACCTAACAACTAGCGGTTCCCAAACTGCAATATGTTCTTGCCAGAAACATGAGAGCTTGTAAGTATGTGCATTCTGACCCACCAACCTTGGGGTGGGTCCCAGGAATCTGCACATTTCACCTGCACCCCAGATCTTGTGACCCACGCATGGGTGACCCACCCGTGCACCTGGAGAAATGCTGCCCTGGGGGTTAAACACCCTCCACCTTCTTCACCTCTCAGAACCCTCGGGAAGGCATTCCACAAAGCATTCTGGAGAATTCTGGAAAAAGGGCTGCACGCAAGTGCTAACCCAGGGAGGGCAGGGAGGAGGTATCTGCCGTTCACCTCCCACTTCTCAGAAATAAGATCAGTGTGGTGAGCTTGTGAGAGGGGAGAGGTAACCCTGGGAAGGGACTGAGAAGAGACTGGGACAGCCAGAGTGATGTAGATGGTGAGGGAATAGGGAGGGAAGAAAGGTAACACTGTAGGTAGCAGGAAGGAGCTGGGAATCTTCAGATTTCAGAGCTCAAGGGGAACAATGTGCTCACCAGAGGCCAGAATTTACCCTAGGAGACCAGGATTTTAGGTCCAGCCTTGCTTTGCACCAGCTGAATGACCAGCCCATAAGCATCTCTCCAACAAAGAGCTATGACGACTAAATGAGATGCTGTTTGGAAAAGTGCAACTGGAAAGCATTGTACAAATGCTGTATATTGCTATTACACTGACTTGGCCAGTTCTTTATTTTACAGATGAGAAAACAGGCCCAGAGAGGGCTGGTGACTTATCCAAGATTGCCCAGTTTGCTAGTAGCAAGGCAAGAATAGATCTCAGATCTTCTGACTTCTGCCCAAGGCAGACACAGTCACCTTTTGTAGATCCCACAAAGGCAAATAATCCCACCTTTCCCTTGTCCCTGGCATGGAAAGCTGGACAAATGAGCCACTCACCCTCTACAGCCTTCAGGGCCTATCTGGGCTGGGTCTCCAGACGTGTTCATCTTCTCCTGTCTTCTAGATCACAGGTCCCAGAAAGACTGCTGTCCATAGAGCTGCCGGCACTGTGTAGCCACCCCCCTAACTCCTCCTCTTCCTGACGCCTGAAGACCTGCTCACACCCACAGTCCCTCATAAGACTGGTGGCTGAGTTGGTCTAGAAAAATCCCAACCAGGAAGCATGGAATGCAGTGGGGCAAGAGTTTTATTCGGAAGGATGAGCTGTCTTCCATCTGGCCCAGTATCTTCTCTTTCCTTTCCTCAAAAATACTATGATGAAGCTAGGTTATCTAGGAATATACTGTGAAGACAATCAGCAACTCCAGGCAGGCCCTGCTTATAAGTCAAGCAAGACTTCGCCAATAACAATAATATCAATTATCAACAAAAATGTTTAAGCACTTACTCTGAGCTCTAAGAATTTTGCACGTATTGCTCAGTTTAATTCATAACACAGCCCTGTCTGGTGGGTGTTGGCATGATTCTATTGATTAGGAAAGTGAAACAGAGAGGTGAAGTAATGTGTCCAGTGGGCTCAGCACAAATTTTACAACTACATTGGGCTGACTGTGGAGACTGTGCAGTTAACCACCCATGGAACTAAACTCAGTCTCGACATACTGTGTAAAACTATATTGAAACAATCACATGCACAGGTTCCTAGCCCAAAGAGCCTGGGGAAAAAGTGGGACTTGCAACCTATTTTGTTTTAAAGTTAAGGGAAATTGTGTAATTACTTAGGTAATACTGCTCTGCGATTAAAATTCAAAGTGTTTATACTTTTTGTTTTGCCTGGAAAGAGATCAGCTCTGGCTGATAACCCTGGTCATCTGGTACAGATTGGGATGTCCTTGTGGTGATTTTAGATGTTTCTGGTTAATTTCCAAAATCAGGGAAATGATTCGTTATCATCATGATTTTGTTTTAAAGCAGAGTGCTACAGGAAATTTCTCCCTGTATGTGGCTCATGGTGGGGGTACCCTAAAGGGATCCTTTGGTGCTAGTCATGTCAAGTCTTCTGAACCAGCAGGGGCTCACTGGAAGCCCCTTTGCTGTCACTCACATATTTTTCTACCTACAGGCTCAGCCAGTTCTCATTTGTTTGGAGCCAGTCCCAGGACAAGTTCTACAGAATCTCAGTGATCTTTTGGTAATCTCTGGAAATGGAGTGCTCCCATGCCTGGAGAGCAGCAATTTTGGAAGCTGCTTTGACTATTTCGATAGTTTTCCTGGCAAAGTAAAGAGAGATACAAACGCATTCCATTAAATCAGTTCAGGAATAATATGTAGGAAATAGAAAATTCTTTTGAGGAAATAAGCCAAGCAGTAAATATGAATTATACTTTAAAGTTATGGCCAGTTAAGGGAAAAAAGCAAGAATGAGAAGATGTGAGACAGAGCTGCTGATACCCACTATAATTGTAACTATCTGTATGTGTCTCTTTCTGTCCCACTGGACTGTGAGCTCCTAAAGGCAAGATCTGTGCCTCATTAATTTTGAATCCCAGGAAACTAGCACAGTGCTCACTATATCATGGGCATTCCATGTATGTTTGTGGAATGAATAAACCTGCCTCAATTCAACAAATACTTAGGATAAACTATATGCCAGGCCCTGATTGTATATAGAGAGACAAGTAAGATAATCCAGCATGGTAAATGAAGATACAGAAGTGTGTAGCGAGACAGCACTGGGAAGGGAGAATCGGGAAGACTTCCCAGTGAAAGGGACTGCTCTGTGGTGGGTTTTGGAGAATGAGTAGGAGTTTGCCAGGTGGAAACGGAAAAGGACATTCTGGGCAGCTGGAAGATGGTATAGAAAGGCATGAAATGAGCCGGGCGCGGTGGCTCAAGCCTGTAATCCCAGCACTTTGGGAGGCCGAGATGGGCGGATCACGAGGTCAGGAGATCGAGACCATCCTGGCTAACACGGTGAAACCCCGTCTCTACTAAGAAATACAAAAAATAGCCGGGCGAGGTGGCAGCACCTGTAGTCCCAGCTACTCGGGAGGCTGAGGCAGGAGAATGGCGTGAACCCGGGAGGCGGAGCTTGCAGTGAGCTGAGATCTGGCCACTGCACTCCAGCCTGGGCGACAGCACGAGACTCCGTCTCAAAAAAAAAAAAAAAAAAAAAAAAAAGGCATGAAATGAGAATGCATTCTGTGTTCCCGGAACTAAAAGCAGTTCTGGTAATGACCTGGAGATGCACACGTTTGAAAGCAGAACTGGGGGGGAACAGGAGTCAGGTCATGACAAATTTGGCAGGAAGAGAGCTAAAGGCCTAGGATTACCTAGGAGCTGGGAAGCCAGTAAGCAATGCTAAGCAGTGGAGCAACACATCAATACTCGCCAAAGTTCTGACAACTATCTAGTTCATATCCCAGTATCTGGACAAAATGCAAGTTTTTACAAGGGAAGTAATAAACATTATGAAAAAAAAAATTTTTTTTGAGATGGAGTCTCACTCTGTTGCCCAGGCTGGAGTGCAGTGGCATGATCTTGGCTTACTGCAACCTCTGCCTCCTGGGCTCAAGCAGTTTTCCTGCCTCAGCCTCCCTAGTAGCTGGGATTACAGGCATGCACCACCAGGCCCAGCCAAGTTTTGTATTTTTAGTGGAGGTGGGGTTTCACCATATTGGTCAGACTGGTCTCGAACTCCTGACCTCATGTGATCCACCTGCTTCAACCTCCCAAAGTGCTGGGATTACAGACGTGAGCCACTGTGCCTAGCCAGAAAATGTATTTTTGGAAGAGTCTTTTTTCTCACAAAACTTTTGGAAGGAGAGATTTTTTTTTCTCTCAATGACACTTTTTTTATAATTACACAAATTATAAACATTAATTATCAGGCGAAGGCTTGTGGATTGCTTGAGCTCAGGAGTAAAAGACCAGCCTGGGCAACATGGCAAAAACCCATCTCCACCAAAAATACAAAAACATTAGCTGGGTGTGGTGGTGTGTACCTATAGTCCCAGCTACTCAGTAGGCTGAGATGGGAGGATCGCTTGAGGTAGAGGCTGCAGTGAGCTGAGATCACACCACTGCATTCCAGCCTGGGTGACAGAGTGAGACTCCATCTCGATTTTAAAAAATAATAATTATTATTATTTAAAAATTAGGAAAAAAAGCTTAAAAGCACAAAAAAAGAGTAAAAATCAGTGCAATCCACTTACCCAGATTAAAATCACTGCTAAAATGGAATGTTTGTGTATTTCTGGTTGCATACAGAAGGTAGCCCAGCGTGGGATTCAGAGGGGGGTTGTGTCTGATGAGCTCACTTGCCCGAGCTAGTTTGCCTTGTTGAGGCAGGTTTGCCACTGAGGAGGAAGCTGGATTTGTGGGCTTCAGGTGGTTCCTGGGGAACAAGGGAGAGTGTGGGTCTCTTCTCCAGCTTTGCCCTGGAACTCTGATCTGAGACCTGAAGAAAGAAGTGGGGCACTCTCCCTAATTTTGCACGGAATTTGATGTGGTTCTGGTATTATTTGGCTACTCAGGGGTCGTGAATTTTGGAGGCCCAGGAGAGAGCTCCTGCACTGGGAGGTGCTTTCCAAAGAGACACAAACTCTGGGGCAATGGAAGAAGAGATCCTCTCCAAAGGCTGTCAGAGTGACCGGATGCGAGTGGCCGGCTTGTGAGTGCCTGTGAGGTGCCTACCCAAGAAATAGCTGGGGAGTATTGGGAGTTGGCTGAGGGAGGCTGAGACCCTGCAGTCAGCCAAAGGGGTGCATCCATGCTAATATCCCTTCCTTCACATCCATGAGCTGGAGCCAGAAAAGTAAGAAGTGGTCTCTTGGGACTTCTGGTTGAGATGCATCAAGTTAACTCTTTGAGTTCACTCTTTGAGACCTCCCCATCTGTGCCACACACAAAGCGATGAGAGATAAAGTGTTTGTTTTTTTTTTTATTCAGACGGAGTTTTGCTCTTGTTGCCCAGGCTGGAGTGCAGTGGTGTGGTCTCGGCTCACTGCAACCTCCACTTTCTGGGGTTCAAATGACTCTCCTGCCTCATCCTCCCGAGTAGCTGGGATTACAGGCGCCTGCCACCACTCCCGGCTAATTTTTTGAATTTTTAGTAGAGATGGGGTTTCGTCATATTGGCCAGGCTGGTCTCTAACTCCTGACCTCAGGTGATCCACCCGCCTTGGCCTCCCAAAGTGCTGGGATTACAGGTGTGAGCCACTGCACCCGGTTTAAAAGACTGCCTGCTCTTGAAAAACAGATAAACATCTCTATTGACCAGAGATAAGGCAGAAATACGCAATGGAAAGTGAAACTGAAGCTACAGTCCTGCACAGCTCCACATCCAGAGGCAAGCAGAGGCTGCTGCAGGTGAAGCGATGTGAACCCCTCATCTGAGGGGGCAGCTTGTGACTGCAGTGAGCGCCAAGAATGAAGTACTCAGACAATTCCAGCTGAGCAGGGCGGGGAGCAGCTCCTCTGAGGGAGTGCGGCTCCAAGATCTGTCCACCAAATATTTATTGAGAAAGCTTGTTTAAACTACAATTCAAACAAAAGGCATCCACCAGGCGGCTCTTTGCAGCTGGGCCATGAGACACATATGACCTTGGAAAAACACATAGACCATAATCTCAGGAGGCTGTTTTCAGTGCTCCTGATTACACATTCCTTTCCTTGTCTTGTTTTCAGGGTCAAGGAGTTTCAGTCTCATGCACAAACAACATGCACAGAGTGCCTCGGTATTTTTCCATGTCTCGACCTCAAATGCCTTGTACGTAAGCTTGAATATACTGCCATACACCCTCCACAGAGAGGACCCTGCCTATGGCAGATCACCGCAAAGAGCTAGGACTGGCCATTGTTGGGACGATTATTTATATCTTGTATTTAGGAGAGAAGAAGAAATTGACGTAGCCTGATAGTGAAGAAGTAGACTGGGCCAACTGCTCCTTGGTGATTGAACCCACAATAGCCTCAGGATTTCCATGGACGGGAGCCTTGAGACACCAATACAAGGCCAGAATTGAACTAGGGAGCCCAGGAAGTGGGGTGAAAACTACCACAAAACTTTTAGATGAGGACTGAACACTAAC